CAAATTAAAGAGATAAAAACAAAATAGTTTAAGGTTTAGGGTTAATGATTGATGGGAAGATTTTGCTCAAGGTATCACCTATGAATGGCATCATGATTTTTTGAAAGAAGGTCAAGCTTAGCCTGAGGCTTATTAGTCCACTAGTGAAGTTTCTTAGGAGGTGTTTACCAAGTGTCTATATAAAAGAAATATCATTCAAATAGTTTCCATGTGATTTAGTGAGACATGGTACAATTGGATTGGAATTTGACTTTTAAGGAGAAGCAAGCCTATAACTATATTGGATAAGCATAATAACTTCTGTAAAGGTGCAAAAGATCATCTTGTGGATAAGATACTAAGTCCAACTTCTTGAGCTTTCAAGTATGTCTTATCTCTTTATGTTCTATGTGTGTTTTAAGTCTGATACTTTCGAAGTTTGACCAAAGTCAACATTTGAGGTTGGCAAGGTTATGTCTGAATTTTAATGATTCCAGTACGCTTGCAGGGAGATTTTTAGCCTATATAGGAATTTAATTTAGTTCTTGGTTGAATTTTGACGTTTTCTTAAGTTTTGAGAGATAAATTATCAGAGAATGTGTTTTGAGTTTAGAGTAGCTTTTGTTATGCTATGAGCTCTGTGGTGTAGCCCACCACATTTGCATAGAAGGACCAGGATGGGATGTCCCCCACAATTGGTAATATTTGTTAAAGAAGAGTTGTAGGACCAGGTATCAATTAGCCTTTGCGTTTTCAATGTGTTACGTTGAGTCAGGTGTTCCGCATTCGTAAACAGATAACTTATGGATTACTCTTTTTTCAGACATAGCTTGGGTGATGAGGAAGTACTTAATAATTTTTTTCTTTTTTGAAAAATTGTGATGGCGATGATTGGCTTGAGACATGGAAATAGTGATTTGTATATTTCATTTTGGACAGATTTATGCGTTATTTTATGTATGTATGAGGAGTGATTAGTAATGAGGATATTACACGAACTGGAATGCAAATAAAATGAAAGAGAAAATGTGGCCGGCCTACATGAAAGAATGAGAAACTTTATTGATATTGAAGCTCGTAGCTTGTGTCTTTAATTGAGAATTTCATTGTATTCATATATGTTGCATGTGCATTAGTCTTCTAATCGTCCTCATTTATAATCATTCCGTTCATTGATCCTTCACTTGAATGAATGGAAACAATATTTTTACGAAAGAGAATCTTAGGCTCGATACATCTTTTTGAATAGGTATATGGACCTTGGGACTCCCTATGAGTCCTTATAACATCCCCAAAATTTCAAAGTTAAGACTTAAGTCACTCTTTATGGTGAATAAGTTTTTTCCCGAGTGATTAAACATTTTCTTAGATGTTAAGGTCACTAAAACTTCATCGCATAAAGTTGAGTTGAAATTTTTCATTCCAAATAAATTTCTCTATGATATTATTCTTTGGTAATCTTCAAACGACCATAACTTTCAACACAAAATGTTTTAGGTGGTCCATGAGCTATCAAATCAAAGTTCTTTGAGTCATCTATCCAACTGAGTTTGCTAAATTTCGAGTTCAAATGAAGAAGATATGCCCATTTGAGTGCAGCCGGTCTAGTTAAGGCAATTCATCCGTTTTAAGGAGGGGCATTTTGGTCTTTTTCTTACCTCCACTAGCCTAGCTCATGTTTCTTGATATTTTACGGGTCTAAAATGCTTAGAATCAGTTTTAGTCATTCCTAAAAACCGCTTAGGATTTTGAGAGGATTTCAAGAGAAGAAAAGAAGAGCGTTCAAGATTTTTGTGAGCTTTGAGGATTTTTGCCAAAAATTTAATCCTTTCAAGGTATGTAAGTTTCCACAGTAATGGTTAGTTCTCCCTCACGCCAATCATGATTTATTTATTGAATTCATCCATGAGATTTCGTGTATTGAGTCTTGATGAGTTTCTTGAAGTTTTTTTCTTCATTCGTTATTAATAAAGATTGATGAGTTCTTGAGGCAAGGGTTTCAAGTTTGAGGTTTGTTCTTTAGGAAATTTGAATATATTTTCTTTTACTTATGTTGGATATACGGATCTAAGAAACTTCGGAAGAAAAACAACTAATTCTAGGTGAATTAGAATAAAAAATCGAGATGAAAATTTGTTAAAATATTTTGGGGGAGGGGTGGTGCGATGCGCCATAGATCTGCCAGGGAGGCTGGCGGGCCACGCATGCAATACGCCAGTAATGGTGTCTTAAAGTTTAGGGGTTGGCACCCTGGAATGCACCAAGGTCGCCTGCCCCTGTTCTTTTTTCGTTTTTCGTGACGTTTGTGTTCTTTTAAAATGTATTTTCACTCTCTTCCTGATTTTAATTATCCAAACTACATTGAATCATCAAGAGATCCTATATATAATAAATCATAACTCTTGAATTCATAATTTAAATTCAAATAGATTTAAGAGTAAAGTTGAGGAAGTTCCTAGAGTCATTTAGAGAAGACTTTTACAATCTTTTAAAACATATTTTAAGATTTGAGTACTTGAATATGAAAGTGAGAAGAAATGTATTCATGAGTTTAAATTGTTATTAAGATCTTTGAGTCGAGTCGTTTATGACCATAATTCCGTATAAATTCCATGAATTGAGAATCCTTGGTGAGGAGTCTATAGTTGAGTCATGAGTTCCGAGTTCTTGAGTCTTCAGTTTTGAGTATTGAGTTTCTATATTTCTATTAAGATCCTTGAGTTGAGTCGTTCATTTCCATAATTTCATATGAACCGTATGAGCTGAGTTATGAATTTTTATATAGCTTTTTAAAGTCAACATTTGAGTTCTTAAACTTAGTTTTGAGAAAGTAAATATAAGTTTTGAGAAAAATATTTTTAACAAATGATTAGTATGACAATCGTGTATGTCATCAATGCATTAGCAGTGTGATATCTAGATATATCATTAATGTTTATACAATATGACTTTCTAAAGTCATCAATGGTCATATTCTACTATGATTTTGATATGTTTTTGAGAAAGTGTTTTTAAGTATGAGTATAACGGGACTATGTATTCCAAAATTATCAATTTTTGCATTGATAAAAAAGAAAATGAGATTTCTAAATGAGTTATAAGATCAAAAGATATTTCAAGAGAAGTTACCTTTTTTAAGACGGTAGTTTGATCAATTACCGCAAACTAGAGGAAGAGTTATGTTTTAAAATATATGAGCATTAGTATATATTATTGGGAGTAGTATTGAGCATTGATATGAGAATGAGTTCAAACAACTTAAAATCCTCATTAACCATGTCTGCCAACATGGGCAAAGGGTGAAATTTTTTAGATGATTTCTTATTGTTTTTTAAGCATAGCTTAGTGGATTCACTTTTTTAGGATGTTCTATACCCCGAAAAGGTATAGGACAATTCTTGCAGCGTGAGCGAGACGTCGTATCATCACATGACTCATATTAATGGTTGTGAATTAGAGAGTCTCTCAAATAAGAGTAATGAGTTTGCTATTATATCTTCATATACATTTGAGTTATTATCTATTGTTTTAAAAACTTCCCGCATATAACATATTTTATTGTTGCTTTCATTTTGAGTTTGAGTTGGGTATCCTGAGTTGATTTGAGTATCCTGAGTTTCAGCTGAGCATCCTGATTTGAGTTGAATATCCTCGAATTGAGTCTAGTATTCTTGAGTCATAGTGAGTTGAGACGAGGTGAGTATGTCTTCCTTATTTCGGTTTGATATTGTACTTATGTTGCAGAGTTTCCCTTACATGCTTGTACATTCCATGTACTGACACCATTTAAGTTCAATGAAATTTAATTTCAGTTTATGTATGATTGAGTTAGTCTTCTGCTTCTAGTCAACCAGGATAAGGATTTGCTTGGGGTCCAATAATGATTCTCGAGTGCCAGTCAAGTTTAGGATGTAGACTCGGATCGTGACTAGTCGTAGATTACAATGTTTCACTTTTGAGTGGGTGTATACCGGTAGGATCATTGTTCATTGCATTGCATTGATTTTCATGCACTATGGGTCGTGTAATCTGTCTCAAACTGTTGGAGAATTTTCTGCGGGTAAAATTTAGTATTTCCTATTTGATATCGTAATTGCTTAAGCTTGGTCGACCTATAATATCTACTAAGTACTTTTGATTTGTACTGACCCTTCATTTTTTGTATCTTTTCTGATGCAAATCCCTACGAGAGTTAGCACAGCGAGTTAGATTCATGATGAGCTCCAGCCTCTGGAGACTTACCCATTTCCCTCTCTATCTTCATTTATTTTTCATTTATACTTTTGACTATGACGTGTAGAATTTTATCAAGTTTTGCTTGTATTAATTAGCTCTTGTGCATGTGACATTGAGGTTTTGGGAATTAATCGGGTGTATATTTGTTTATATAGATATAAATATATAATGAGAGTTTGCAGTATGATTTAATTTGGAGTTATTAGATGTTTCCTTACTCTACTTTTCGTTTTCGTTTGATATTTTAATCTGTATGACATTTTGGACTTTTGATTTCTTAATCTGTATGACATTTTGATTTACCTAGTATATATGATTGGAATCAGAATTAGGTTTTTGTAGGTTCTACATTTTAGAACGTAAGAGAAAAATATTGCAAAGCATATAGATAGTTGGTTCGAACCTACAACACTAATGTGAAAAGCATTTTCACCACTCATTCGTATCACTAATCAGTTGTCAATCATTTTTTTTATGAGTATATATATGTATTTAATTTTTTAATTACAAATATAAGGTCAAATAAGAAAGATAGTGGGTTTGTCAACTCCGCCTAACTTTGCCTCTTATTGTACTAGTATTTAATGATAGGCAATTAATATTTTTTCTGTTTATATCGTAGTTGGCGCTAGTTATGAGGCGCACCATAGGAGATTGTATATAATATTTTGTAAATGAAGATAAGGGTTGTGTCGTTTTATCATTCTCAACAAATTTGTTTGGTAGGTTCAATGTTATCTATAAATAAAAATTAGTTATATTGAGCAGAAATGATAAATATATACCTTAAGCCTTTCTGGAGTACGTCAATCTCATTCTTCAGCATGTTGATCTCCTCTTTTGGGTCCTAAAAAAATAGAATTTTCATTTATTACTGTAACATATAAGAAAAAGCTATTGTCTATTTTTATTATTTCTAAATACAACAATTCCTAGCATAAAAACAATTTTTTGATGACATTAAAATTTTCATTTATACAACGTATTGGTAATCTAAGTTAAGTGCATGGACTTTATTTTTTAAACTCCTATAAAATGGATTTTTTTTTTATCATAACTACATCTATTTATTTTTAGTTCTCCTTTCCCTCAGCAACAAGACTTGTTTTCTGAGTGGATAGTTTCCAAAAGTCAAAAAGCGAGAAATACAAAGGAAGGGCTCATATCACTTATTACTAATATTTTATAAAAAATAAATAAATAAAAATATTTTGCAGTTAATAATGCAATTATATATTCCAAAGCATGAAGCATCCCGTGCAGTACTTTTGTCTCTAAAAAGTTAGTTAATTTAATCCTTAATTAGTTTTTGTTATCGACTGAATATGAATATAATTATATATCCTGTTGGTCTTCTCACTTTCCAAGTGTCATGCATGCAATAATATTCACTACAAACAGCATCTGATGCTAAAATTGACATTACAATCAGAGTTTGAAATATTATTTATATAGCTGGAAATTCTCCATGATAAATAATAGTAAAGTTACATAAAAAAAAACATATATATATATATAGATCATAGCAATTAAGCCTAAAATGATATTAAATTTAATGTCAATAAATGTTTCAATACCTTTTGCTAATATGTATATTTATTATTATTATTAAAAGCTATTTTTATTGTAGTGTAATTGATAAGATTGATAAATGTAAGATTAAAAGGGAGAATTCACCAGGTATAACATGTAATTAAACCATAGTATTAAAGTAAGAAAAGGGATTTACCAGAGGTTGTGTATCTTTGGCTTCCTCAGCCACCTCAACTCCCTTGGTTGACTTGATGTACCTCTCAATCAGCCCTTGCATGCTTCTTCCACCACAAAAACACAAAAATGAATAAAATACTTCCTTTTGTTTTATTTTGAAATTATAATATATAGTAGAAATATGTGCGTGTTACATAACATAGAAATAGTAAAAGGAAAGTAAGTTAGAATGAGAGAATAATACCCTTTAGTAGCAAGTTCATAGAGCTTTCCGTGAGCGGAGAAAATGAAAAGACCAATTTCAGCATCGCACAAAACGGAGAGCTCTTTGGCCTTCTTAAGAAGGCCTGCTCGACGTTTGCAGAAAGTGACTTGTCGATGAACTGGATTCTCTATCCTCTTCATTTGAACCTTACCACGAGCCATCTTCTTTCTTTTCTTCTATAGATTCAATTTCTTTTGCTGCTTTTTTGGCAGACAACCTCCCACTAGTTTGAACTAGCTTCGAGGTTGTTGCACTCTACTCTTCTTCTAACTACCTTAGCTTAATTACCACAATTTATAATTATTCACTCTTCCTTCTTCTATCAACATTTTATACTTCCCCATTTTCATTCTTCTACCACCCATACACTTGCTATTAAAATAATGGAACCCACCTTTCCACCTCACTACGAATCTTACCTTTTCATTTCTACTTTCCCACTTTCAAAATACGTTTGATTAAACAATGAAATTCTAAATTATAATTATGTCAAATACATAATCTTTTAATTTTGTAATATCAGTTAAATATATAATATTATTAAAGAAATAGGTGGTTTTTTTAAAACAGAGCGACTATATGTTTTTGTATAATGGACTTGTACATCTTTTTTTTCCATTACTGCATACCTAAGTTATATATTCCGCCCCAAGTGGCTTAATCAATCTTCATGTTATTAATTTTGTTGCTGCTTGAAAACTGCACTCATCTTTTGTAGCCATCATAATGGAACGCTAACTACTCATTCAGTTTTCTCAGAGGGTTTTGCCCTTTAATATTTTAGCAAATTTTGATTTAGCGTGACTATAATATAGATATTGGGGTAGACTTGTGTGGGTTCCATGGGATTCGCGCTCATCAAAATATTACATGTATTTATGTAGTTATACTACTTTTGAACCTCCTCATAAACAAGAACTAAGTTGTAGCATAGTGGTAAATCTCTTTTTAAATTGACTTCACGTCCAGGGTTCGAATCCACATTTAGATTTATAAAAATAAAATAAAATTGAGGGTCCGTATGCACATTTAAATTTAAACAAAACAAACAATCTGAACGTGCTGAGAGGTTTCTTGTAATAAAACTAAACTTTTTGTACCTATATGCTACTTATTCATATTTTATTGGCTTATTCACAAACTCATACTTGAACGTGCTGAGAGGTTTCTTGTAATAAAACTAAACTTTTTGTACCTATATGCTACTTATTCATATTTTATTGGCTTATTCACAAACTCATACTTCTATTGTTCAAATCCTCAATAAAAATTCTATATCCACCACTAGATACCACACATCAAATGAAAAATGAAAAATAAAAAATGAAATTGAATAAAGATGATTTTTCCGTTGAAAATAGTCGTGTCATAGGATTATTGGCTACTTTTCTTTTGTACCTCTCATCTCTTGAACATGAATTCTTCCCCCTTTCCTCTAAAAACACGGATTCCACTATTAACAAGGAAAAAAAATAATACCAAGTTGGTCCTCCAAGAAAAACTAATTAAGTCCAAATGTACTGTTATGTACTAGCCGAATCTTTAATATAAAATTTGTTGATGTATTTATACAGTATATGGAACCTATATGTATGATGGGAAAAATAATTATCGAGCCAAAGTATGTAGATTTCTTTGTGTTATTTCTACAGAGAAAAAAAAATATGGATATTAGACATATGTCGCGTTGAGAAGGCTCTTGGTTAGTGTAAGAATTATTTTTAATTATTTCTTACTTATGATCCAAGTTTACTTATAACTCAAGTAATATTATATATAATATTTAATAAGAAATAGATCTTGTTCGTATATTGGTTACTTGATGGACGTATCATATTAAGTCATGACCTTTATGAATTGGTCCTCCCTCCACCTATTGGGGTTACCACATATTTACTACAATAATTTCATCGCTGATGGTTGTGGTAACATAAAGTTAGGATAAGGAGGTAGAAATCAATTTACGACCAACACTTCCGCTTCTCTCTGTGATGATGTCGTACGCATCAGGTATGTATCCCTAACGATCTTTATGTAAGATTATCGTGTTCAAGGTCTTGATATTACGTATTAAAGTATTGACATATTACACAAACATGACTCTTAACTTGGCGTTAATGAACAACTATGTCCTCCAACTTTGAATGTGCACAAGTAGACACTTAATCTATTATAAAATTGAACAAGTAGACACAAGTGTCCTACATGACATGATACACGTAGGATGCCATGTAGGATACAAAATTGTCATGTAGAATGCCATGTTGGACAATTGTGTTCATCTGCTCAATTTTATACAAGTTTAAGTGTCTATTTGTGCACATTCAAAGTTGGAGGTCATAATTATCGATTGCCGCCAAGTTACAGGTCATGTTTATGTATTATGCCCAGAGTATTTAATCTTGCATGTTACATCCGAGTCTGGATTGTTTGAAAAAATAATCTTCATAAATTATATAATCGCATCAGCCTTGGTAGAGTAATAAAGAGTAATTACCGCTCACCACCCCTAAATAAATAAATAATTATGTTTTGTTTTAGATTGCATAAATTCTGGAATTTTTTAATCTTTCCATATTGTAATAATTATGTTTTGTTTTAGATTGTATAATAAATTAAAGTGATCGTTATACAAAACAATAAATAATATGTGTGTACCACCTAATGCAATATCGTTTGTTAGTCATCAAAATGGTCAAACTAGAGAAATTAATGTTTACACATAAAATATTTATGATCGGTTGAAATATGTGGAATGTGAATTAGTAGGATTCATTATTTATTGGTATATTCACTATTCCAAGAGAGATTGCGTCTGATTTTCAACTTGATGCATGCATTATGTCTCTTGAGTTTATTAGTGACCAAAGGGGCAAAACTAAAATATATAAAATTATTTACATGGACAAAAAATTATAATATTATGTGTGCGTTGTATTTATATAGTCTATTAGTGGCCAAATTGGTCAAACTAGTGAATTAACGTGTACACATATTATTTTTCTGATCACTTGATGCATGTATTATGTTTTATAGTTTGTTACTTGTTAGTCATCAAAGTGGCCAAACTAAAATGTTTAAAATTATTCACATGCACAAAAAGATATTATGTGTGTTTTGTATTTATATTGTTTGTTAGTCACCAAAGTGGTCAAACTAGAGATATAAACGTCTACACATATCATGTTTATGATCACTTAATGCATGTATTATGTTTCTATAATTTGTTAGTCACCAAAGTGGTCAAACTAAAATGTTTAAAATTATTCACATGCACAAAATTGTATGATATTATGTATGCATTTGTATTCATATAGCTTGTTAGTCACCAAAGTGACCAAACTAGTATGGTTAATAAAAATATACACTCATAAAATTGTCATTTGTCTATGACGATTAATTAAATTCCTATATTGAAAAATATAAACATATAAATTTACTTTCACTATTGCTAGAACTTAAAATTTTTACCCAATGGTGAATCTATCATTCTAAAAATAGTGAAAAATTATGAGGTAAATTAATATTTTCAATCAAACATATATTGTATATCCAAATCTGTCGTACATGTTTGGTTTTTGAATTATTTTATTTCCTATTTAAGAATTAGAAATGACATATAAATTATGATAGTGTGTCGTAGTATCTATCCAAGAAAAATTGCGATGTACTTTTCATTTTACTAAATTCACATTACTTTTTGCTATGTGCGCATGTATAATTTTTTGCATGTATTCCTCATATTCACATGCTTTGTCTGTTACTATGTTCAATGGATTGAACTTCTCTAAATGTCACGTACAAGTCTAGTTCCATTTAGGTGTGATGGATATTGGTTTGTCTCTACTGAATGACAAACCTACTGTCATTACTTATAAGAGCAGTGAGGAAATTTTTTTTCATAAATCATGGGAGCGCTCTAATAGATTGAGTCTTGTGTTCATGTGAATGATTGTTGTTAACAATATTAAGAGTACTATTCCACAAACAAAAAGTGTCAGGAAATACCTGAAGTTTGCGGAAGAATTTTTTTGTTCTACTGATAAGTCTCAAACTGCTACACTAATGGTTGAACTCACGACTATGAAGTTTGATGGGTCGCGCAGTATTCAAAATCATATCATCGAGATGACCAACATTGGAGCAGGACTTTCGACCTTGGGATGAAAGTGGATGACACCTTCTTAATTCAGTTTATTCTGAACTCATGTCTCTTGAGTATGGATCATTTCAAATTAACTATAACATTATTAAGGATAAGTGGGATATTAGTGGATTGTCTAAAATGCTTTCTGAAAACAAGTCAAGATTTAAAAATAAGGAGGCCATTTCATTAACCTCATGGGTCAAGGAGTTGATAAAATACTTAAAATGAAGGCCAATAAGTTTAAGAAAAAGAAAGCATCTTCTAAAGTTCCACATGATGCTCATAAGGAACTCAAGGTTGATATGTGTCATTTATGTAGAAAGGAAGGACACTTCCACTAAATGAAAGTTCTGTTTATTTGTGGTATAAACGTTTGAGTCATATATCCAAAAAAAAAAGACATAAAAAATTAGTAAAGAATGAGATTCTTCTGAATCTCAATTTTATTGATCTTGATATATATTTTGATTGTAATAAAGGAAAGCAAATCAAGCATACCAAGAAAGGTGTCACAACGATCATTCAGTTTTTTGAAATTATACATACTGATATTTGCATCCATCTTTTGGTAGAGAAAAATATTTTATTACATTTATCGATGATTTAACACATTGTGAATTTATCTATTTGTTGAAAGAAGATTCTCATGCAGCGAACACTCTTAAAGTGTATGTTGATGATGTTGAAAGACAATTAGATAAAAACTGAAAATTATTAGGTAAGATAGAGGTGGTGAATATTATGAAAAGTAAAACGAATCAGGACAATGTCTAAGTCTATTTGCAAAAATTCTCAAATAATGTGGCATATGTGCACAATATAAACTATAGTAGGAACACGTCAACAAAATGGTGTTGTTGAAAGGCGTAATCGAACACTTGTAGATATGGTTAGGAATATGATGAGTAATTTCTCATTATCCAAACTATTGTGGATGTATTCTCTTAAAACCGATGTATATATATTGAACAGGATTCCTAGTAAGCCAATTTCAAAAACCTCTTTTGAACTGTGGACTGAAGGAAGCTGACACCTCATGTTTGGAGTTGTTAAGCGGAAACTAGAGTTTATAATCCACATGAAAAAAACCAGATTCTCAAACAATAAATGGGTTACTTTATTGATTATTTAGATA